CAATACGGGGTCCCCATGCAGAAGTCTCGACCCATTACCCGGGACCAGTTCTTCATCCTGAGTTTTTTGGCGGTCCCGGGGCCCGGCGAGGGCCCTATATGGGGCCGAGCTTTGCGGAAAAAACCTACGCCTTGATGGTTTCAATGCGTCGGATCTCTGGGTCTCTTGCCCTAGCGTTTCCTCTGGGGAGCCCGTTCGGCGTCCGAGGCGGCTCGGGCGCGCTCGAGATCGAGCGCGTTCCGCGGCCGAGCGGGTTCCGGTCTCGCGGGCCTGCCGGAAGTGAGCCCGCTCGGCCGCCCCTTCGGCGGGCGAGCGGGCTCGGACGCCGAGCGGGCTCAGAAGTGCACCCCGGGGTGTGCATGATGGGCTTGCTTTCCACCACCACCATCACCATAAGTTGGACCAGGAGGGGGTCCTCCTCCTCCTCCTCCTCCTCCTCCTCCTCCTCCTCCTCCTCCTCTTCCTCTCCTCCTCCTCCTACTCCTCCTCCTCCTCCTTCGTCGTCATCCTCCTCCCTCCTCCTCCTCCTCCTCTTTCTCCTCCTCCTTCCCCCCTCCAACTGACGGTGGTGGTGGTGGTGGAAAACCGGCCCATCAGTGCACCCTCGGCAGCTTCATCCGCCGGCTTTCGCCCCACGGTTCCCCGAAGTGGAGCACGCGGAGGCGCCAGGAGGAGGAGGAGGAGGAGGAGGAGGAGGAGGAGGAGGAGGAGGAGGATGAGGAGGAGGAGGAGGAGGAGGAGAGGAGGAGGGAGGGAGAGGAGGAGGAGGAGGATGAGGAGGAAGAGGAGGAGGAGGAGGAGGGGGAGGAGGAGGGAGAGGAGGACAGGGAGGGCCGCCACAGCGCAGCAGCGAGAGCGAAGGCGCCCAGAGGGCGGGCCGTCCCAGCTTCTGTGGGTCGCTCGGCCTCGGCCATGGGGGTCCTCCTCCTCCTCCTCCTCCTCCTCCTCCTCCTCCTCCTCCTCCTCCTCCTTCTCCTCCTCCTCCTCCTCCTCCTCCTCCTCCTCAGAGAGAGGCCCCCGGCTTCAGATGGAGGGGCAAGCGTCTGCATATTCATAATCCTGACTCTTCCACCTTCCCCACCTCCGACCAGCAGGTGGCTGATTCAGAGAAGGCATAGACGCTCACATGATTTCTGCCTCTCGAGAGGATCAGCGAATCAGCCACCTGCTGGTCGGAAGGTGCGAAAGGTGGAGGGCCAGGACAGAGCAGCCTCCAGAGCCGCACCCTGGGGGGCAGAGCTCGCTTGGGCCGGAGGCAGAGCACGCAGGGCCGATGGAGCGGTCGGCCCAGACCCCAGACGTCGTGATTTTTTGGCGACGTCCACCCCCAGAGGTCTCGACCCCTTCCCCGTGATGTTGCAGGACCCTGCGGGGTCAGGGCTGCACTGGCCCAGGCTTGGGTGCAGGATCCTGCAGGATCCTGCAGGATCTGGCAAAGCCAGACTGGCCCGGGCTTGGATTGGCCTGGGTCAGCAGATCCCCGATGTCTCCAGAGGTCGCGCAAGGGGGAGAGCGATAACGGGAGGGGGGAGGGAGGACTGCAGAAAGGAGCCCAGAAGGGGCCCTTCAGGGCCCGAAGATGGCACCTGTCCCCCCCCCATTCCCACCATCTCATCCCCCCCGTTCGTTCGCACCCAACCTTCCCAGACCCCCGACGTAGTGATTGTTCCACAACGTCGACCCCCAGAGGTCTCGACCCCTTCCCCGGGACTGGTTTTGCATCGTGGGTTGTTTTTGTAGATGCTCCTGGGGCCCGGTGAGGGCCCCCGAAGGCCGAAAATTGCGAAACATGTGTCGTCATGTTTTTTTCCACAGCGCGAGAAATGGCGGAAAAAATGTCGTCGTGTTTTCACAGCTCGAAAAATTCAGAAAAACTGGTCGTCGAGCTTTTTTCCCCAGCGCGAGGGGCTCAGGGCTGGCCGCAGGCCCAGACGCCTGGCGACCCGCTGCGCTCCCCCCGTGGCCCGCGGGAGGTCCCGTCCCTTTGCCCGAAGTCCGGCACGCCCCTCTGCAGGAGGAGTATTCAGAAATAGTAACAACGAGTCTGGGGACGATCATTTGATTCTTTTGTCTGGATGATTTGTTGTTGATCATTTTTTTGGCTACTCTTAGTTTTTCGTCCAAGATCGGGCCTGTCGTTTGTTGTTTTTGTTGGCTTGATGCTTCCTGTTGTTGACATTTTTGTTTTGGCTACTCTCAAGGTTCCGTCCAGAATCCGCCTGCCGGGGGACACGCCCGACTTCACCCTTTGCCCCCTGGGGGGCCCGGGCTGCACCCCCCCCGACGGGAGGTCCGCTCTGGCGGGTCCTCCGCCTCGGCGTCCCGACGGCGGGCGCCAGAGGCCGAGGAGGGTCGAGCGGCCGGTGGCGGGGGGTCCTGGCTTTTGCATATATGGGCCCTGCGGGATGCAGTCGGGCGTGTCCCCCTCTGGGGGCGATTTGGCGACTCTTGTCGGCCATTTTTGACTTTATATGGGCCCAGCAGGATGCAGTCGGGCGTGTCCCTCTCCGGGGGCGATTGGACGACTCTTGTCGGCCATGTTCGAGCACCTTGGCGGGCCCTGGAAACGACAGGGCCGTTTTTTACGGGTTCCGTTTTGCGGTTTTTGTGCCAGTTCCGACGCCGTTTTTTTTGCCGGTTCCGTCGCCGTGTTTTGACCGGTTCTGGCTCCCGGTCGCCGTTTTTTTTGCCGTTTCCGTTTTCAAGGGACATGTTTTGGGAAACGGTGAGAAAACGGCCCTGCCGTTTCCGGGGCCCAGGAGGCTATGCTTTATTTTTCCTCCAGAATCCTCTTGCAGGAGGACGCGCCCGACCCAACACCAGGGAGGGTTCTCTGAGAACCCTTGGTTGTCCATGCGGAGCGTTCTCAGAGCACTTCTGGCCGAGCCCGTCGGGTTCCAAGACCCTAGGGCTTCAGTTCTACAACACGCCTTGCGGGTGCTAAGACCAGTCGCCAGATAAAAATACACTACCAGCTGGGGAGGGCTGGCCGCTTTCCCTCCCCGAGCTGGTGGCACCCCGTTCCGGGCGCGCCCCCAGAGAGTGCCCAGAACTGAGTGCCACCAGCTCGGGAGGGTGGTCTTTGGGAACGGAGTTCCATGGAGTTCTGGTGGTAGTGGCACTGCTTCCTCTCGTGAGCCAGGTCTCAGTAGGCCTATAAAGAATTGCCGGGCCGGTCGGTCCCTGCTCATATGAGTGAGCGATGCCCGGATCGAAACATTGATGTCGCCCGATATGTGAGGATCGCAGGCGTCAGGCCTCGTGCCCTTGCAGGGGGGGGAGAGACGAAACTCGAGAGACTGTTGGGAAATAGGGGGGCTCCTGGGCTCTGTGTGTAGTTACCCATGCGTGCCGCTCCGAGGCAGGCTGCCCCTCCCCCCCCCCGGCGCCGATCCGCCGCGCCCCCCCGCGAAACCCTGAGATCCGATGTCGTGATTTTTTCAGTACGGGGTCCCCAGAAGTCTCGACCCATTCCCCAGGACCGGCTTTTCATCCTGAGTCGTTTTTTGACGGTCCCGAGGCCCGGTCAGGGCTCCTATAGAGGCCGAAAGCTGTAAAAAACCGCCGTCGTGATCTGTTCAATACGCTGGATCTCTGGGAAGCGTGGCCTGCGGGGCAGGAGCAGCGCCGTCCCGCGCGCTCTGGCGGCCCTGCCGCTGCCGATGTGGCTGCTGAGCTCATCCCCGCACGGGCCGGCGCCCTCTCCCCGACGAGTCCCCCCCTCTCAATCGGGGGAGCGTAAAACCCAGGTTTGCCAGGACTCGGGTTCGCCCTTGTTTTTTGACGACCGCGCCTCGGATTTTCACGAGGAGGAGTTTCGTGGGATGTCTGCAGCGGGAGGCCTCGTCAAAATGCAGGCTCGGCCTCGTCATTTTTTTGACGACCTCGTCGGGCCAACCCGAGTCCCCCGTACCCGGGTCGTACGTCTCCCCGACTCAAGCAGTGGCGAGGCGTCCTGGCTTGCCCATATCAGAAGGGGGGGAAGAAGCACACAGACACAGTGCATCGTCGACTCCCAGGAAGATGCGCGGACATGTGGGAAGGGGGGGGGGGGGAAGACGAAAATGCCAGAAAGATTGAGAAACACAGGGGATCCTGGGATTTGTGTGTACTTATTCTCTTGCACAGCTGTGCTCTAGAGCTCGGACATCTTTATTTTCGTCGTGGTTCGTGGTTCGTGGTTCGTGGTGGTTCGTCCCCCTCGGCCCCTACCCTGAGCCTGAGCCCCAGCTCCCACGGGCCACCCCCCCTTCGGAACCACCATCCGTCCAGGCTTCCCAGGGCAGCCCTCCTGGGCCGCGGATCCCTTTATTTTCGTCGTGGTTCGTGGCTCGTGGTGGTTCGTCCCCCTCAGCCCCCCCCTGAGCCTGAGCCCCAGCTCCCCTGAGCCACCCACCCTTGGGAGCCTTCCTCCGTCCAGCCTTCCTCCGTCCAGGCTTCCAGTCCTTCGCAGCTCCTTTGTGCAAGAGCCAGAGCACGCGTGCCACTTGTTTGTGTGTCACTGGGGCCCTTCACTATAGGCCCACCAAAGAATGTTCTAAGAAGCTTTTGTTTCTCGTTGCACGGCATGTTCTTAGAACAGTTATGGCTTGGGCTGTCTTGTTTGACACATCGGCTTGAAAGATTCTGAGAACGTTATTTCCTATTTGGACATTTTGGGATTCTAAGAACAGGTCGTTGTAGGTCGATAGGAACGCCGGGACGGTCGGTCCCTGCTCACCCCCCCTCCCTCGGCGGTCAACGAGGGGGGGAAGCGCGGAGGAGAAGGCCTTCTCCGAGAAGGCGGCGGGGCTCCTCGGAGGCCCTCGCGCCTTCTGAGAAGTCCTTCTGTGCCTCTCTTGGGGAAGGCTGGCGGCCATATGAAAAAGCAGAGGCAGCAGCATCAAACGGTGGAGAGAGCGCTGCAGTGCCCCAGCAGAAAATCGCCTGAGCTTCGTTGGGAGTTGCAGCGGTAGTGAGCGGCAGTAGGGAGTGTGGAAATGTGCATGCTGAGGGCGACGATGGGAACGACGACGGTGATGGTAATGATGGCTGCAATTGTGCCGCGGGTACGGGTGTGGACGAATATGTCATCGACGGTGATGATCTTGGGGAAGTGGACGGTGCTGCGGAGGAGGAGCAGGAGGAGGAGGAGGAGGAGGAGGAGGAGGAGGAGGAGGAGACGGAGAAAGAGGAGGAGGAATTGGAAGAAGAGGTGGCCGGGAAGTCCCAAGAACACCCTGGATCCGAGCGAGCAAAAGAGGCCTCAACACCATGCAATACACGTAGTCCCGCGGAGTGTCCCCTGGCGGCTGCAGGTGAGGCTCACCATTGCGGGCGGGCTGTTGGCGCGATTGCGGGCACTGTCCCTCCGCGGTTGCGGCACGGCTGCCGGTGCAACTGTGGATGAGCATGGCCAACATATCTCTGTCGTGATTTGGTTCTCGACGCGAAGGCTCTGGGACGGAGGGGGCGGTGGAAAGCCTGAGCCCCCGCGTCCACTCCTTCGTCGCAGGCTGTCGCAGGCCTGGCGTACGCACGGATCGGACAGGCGGACAGAGGAGGAGGAGGAGGAGGAGGAGGAGGAGGAGGAGGAGGAGGAGGAGGAGGACGAGCAGGAGGAGGAGGAGGAGGAGGAGGAGGAGGAGGAGGAGGAGGAGGAGGAGGAGAGGAGGGAGGAGGAAGAGGGGGAGGAGGAGGGAGAGGAGAAGGAGGAGGAGGAGGAGGAGGAGGAGGAGGAGAAGGAGGGGGAGAGGGGGAGGAGGAGGAGGAGTGGCGTGCAGCACGATGCAGTGCAGGCACTCGGTGAGGGGAGAAAGGGGGCAGAGGCGGCAGCCGCGGAGGGGGGGGGGGGGAGGCGGCGGCCCCTCTGGACCACGCGGGTCTTCCCGTGGCGTGCAGCGGCTCAGGCTTCGATTGAGTCGGGCCTTTCCCTCTGCAGTTGTGGAGGACGATCAGTGGAGGGGAAGCATGTTGCCAAACACTTTCCAGATTACATGTGCTACACATGTTTTAGACATTAAAAAACATGCGCAGCACATGTTTAGAACAAGCTTCGTACATGTTCAACAGGTTTTAAATTCACTGATCGGACTGTCAGGGTGTCCACCGTCGTGGCATCCACACCTCTACAGGGGGGATCATGATTTGTTTTTTTGAGATTTTTTGCCAATTTGGGCGGGCATTTTTTGAGTATGTTTATGTTTTCGACCCAAATCCCCCCGTGGGGGACACGCCCGACTTAAGGCTTCGACGAGGTGCGGACTGTCGGATCACTCGTGACCTGTGAAGCAGGTGAACGTGAAGGCATGGCACCGCAAACAGCAGGAGCGAGGAGCCCTCTTCCAGGGGGGCACTCCCGCACGAGCCAGCTCACGAGGGAGACCCAGCGACCCAGAAGGACAGCTCTGGGCCAGGCGCTCCATCGAGATCTGGTTCAGGCCTCCCTGGATCGGGGCCATCCTTGACACCCCAGTATCTTCGGACCCCCGGTTGTGAAGAGAGGTAGTGCAATCTGGGCGCGACGCCCACGTGCCGTGCCTCGATCGGGGCCGCGGGTACACGGCCGTGCCGTTGTCCGCCGCGGCCGCCGCCGCGCTCTGCCCAAACAAGGCCCGCGGCGGCTCGGGGTCGTTCTCTCGCTCCCTCGCTCGCTCGCTCCTCCACGGGGCAGTTGGATCTCCTCCCTACTTTCCCCTCCATCCGAGGTCCATTCTTGCGTGCCCCTCTCCTCGTTGTCGAGTCTTGCAGAAGTTCGCTCGCCTCGGAGGAGTGCGCTGTATCAGCTGCGCCCCGTCGAGGGTGCTCTGGGGTGCCCAGGCCGTCCCGATCGGCCGGCGGAGGCCCCGGGTGATGGCCCGAGGACCAGACCCGGTGGCTCAAACAGGGGGTCCTGAGAGATGGGGTCCTGGGGACGAGGTGCCTCGAACAGTGTGAACTGATCCTTGGATCCCTTCCTGTCCTTGGGGCCCCATCCCTCAGGACCCCACCCTCGAGCCACCCACAGACCTCCTCGCGCTGTGAGCAAACGTCACGAGCGAGTGCGTTGTGGGGCCACGTTCGGCCTCGGGGTATTTCGCTTGTTCCTTTCGGAGGTGAGCCCAGGGGGGGGGGGGGCGAGGGGGCAGGCCTCTTCTCAGAAGGCGGCGGGGCTTTTTCAGAGGCCCTGAGTCCGCCTCTGCCTTCGGAGTGTGTTCAAGAGGCTCCTCAGAGGGCTGGAGGTCTTCTGACACTTCGAGAACACCCGCCCCGCTCTGCCCCCCCCCGCAGCCTTGGGCTTTGAAGTGCGCGGGCACAGAGGGAGAAAATGAAGGGAAGGACAGTCTTGGACAGTCCAACAGGGAGCCACGCCGAAGGCCCTATAGGGAGCGGCACCGAAAGCCCCAGTGGCAGCGCCCGCGTGGCGCCGCCATTCCAGTGTGGCGCATCCCTCACACGGTTCGTGCCCCCACAAGGAGCTCCACCGAAGACGATATTCACAGATGCGGCACTCACAACTGCATATTGGTGGGACCTTCGCCAGGCTAATGTTCTGCGAGCGATTGCCGAGTCAGCACACCCACCTGCTACAACAGGCGGAATACGACAAAGCGTGCCCTGTCTTAGCACACGCGTCGGTGCCACCACCTCGCAGGTTGTGTGCGAACCACATGCGCACCCCTTGAAAGAGACTTGCGTTCTCTCGCTTGGTAAAGCTTCATCCTGGGCCTGTTCGGTTGAATCGGGGTTTGTTGCCTTTCACTCTGTCTTAGCGGCCTTCATGCGATCTCGCGACGACTTGCCAGGAGTTGCTTCCTCACGTAGCTGTCATTCGCGGGCGATTTCACCCCCCGCGCCCCCACCCCCTCGCGATTCTTCCGCACAAAAAATTGAGCCCCTCAGGGGTGCTATTCGGATGCGCTTCTACTCCGGACGGACGCCCCCTCGGTCGCACACATCCCCGAGCAGGGCCTCCAATTGCCACTCCGTTCGACAACCCCCACTGCGAAGTCGGGGATCGGGGTCGAAACCTTTCGGGCCCGACGAGGGGGGGAAGATATAGGGAAAGGGGGGGGGGTGCGACATCTGCTGCAGCAGGCTGGCTTCGCCCCCCGCCGCTGGGCCCATTCCTCGAGACAGTGTACACTTGGCGCCTTGGGCACCTCCCGGCGCCAGGAGGGGTCAGGAAACCAGCTGCGTGAGCTGATTGTCGACCCTACCCTCTGCCATTCTACCCTTTCGCTCCCCCCCGGTATCCCTTGTGTCCTCCTCATCCTCCTCCATCTCCCCCCCCCTCCCCCTCCTCATCCTCCTCCTCCTCCTCCTCCACCTCCACCTCCTCCTCCTCCTCCTCCTCCTCCTCCACCTCCACCTCCTCCTCCTCCTCCTCCTCCTCTCCTCCTCCTCCTCCTCCTCCTCCTCCTCCTCCTCCCCCTCCTCCTCCTCCTCCTCCTCCTCCTCCTCCTCTCCTCTTCTCCTCCTCCTCCTCCTCCTCCTCCTCCTCCTCCTCCTCCTCCTCCTCCTCCTCCTCCACCTCCTCCTCCTCCTCCTCCTCCTCCTCCTCACCTCCTCCTCCACCTCCACCTCCTCCTCCTCCTCCTCCTCTCCTCCTCCTCCTCCTCCTCCTCCTACTCCTCCTCCTCCACCTCCACCTCCTCCTCATCCTCCTCCTCCTCCTCCTCCTCCTCCTCCTCCTCCCCCTCCCCTCCCCTCCTCCTCCTCCTCCTCCTCCTCCTCCTTCCTCCTCTCCTCCTCCTCCTCCTCCTCCTCCTCCTCCTCCTCCTCTCCTCCTCCTCCTCCTCCTCCTCCTCCTCCTCTCCTCCTCCTCCTCCTCCTCCTCCTCCTCCCCTCCACCTCCTCCCCTCCTCCTCCTCCTCCTCCTTCCTCCCTCCTCCTCCTCCCCCTCCTCCTCCTCCTCCTCCTCCTCCTCCTCCTCCTCCCCCTCCTCGAGCCCCGCGCCGGCAGCCTGGTGCACGACCCCCCGCGCCCCCGCCTCTCCGGAGGCGCTGGCCGCTCGTGGCCTCGCCGCCGTGCTGGGCTGCCTCCTGGGCAGCGCGGCCCGGGGGCGGCCGCGGCGGCGTCGACGACGTCGCCGTTTTCGGGGGCGGAAAAGAGGGGGGTGATGCCTAGGGGGGGGGGATATCATGGCGGGGGCCATGATCTTTCCACAGATTTCATGGCGCCCCTTCTTCTTTCATTGCGACCCTGGCCCCCCCGCTGGGCCGCGCACATGCCGCCGGTCATGATTAGCACCCCCCTCTTGGACACCCCCCTCTTGGCCGCTCCCGACGTTTCGAGGGCCGAGCTACCCTCTAGGCGATGCTAAAGAAAACCCAAGTTTTCGGCCAGAGTCTCGATGATTCTTAATGTTTCCATGTAAGTCCTAAGAGTTGGATAGAAATGTTGGGCTTTTCTTCAAGTTCTGAGACTATGAATTTCTTAGCCCATGATTTCTTAAGCATTTCGCAGGGTGTATTCTCGGCCAGTGGCGAAGCGTCCTGGCGCTTTGCGGGCCCCGGAAACGGCAGGGCCGTTTTTTCACCGTTTCCAAAAAAAGGGTCCCTTGAAAATGGAAACGGCAAAAAAACGGCGACCGGAAACGGCAAAAGAACGGCTCCAGGATCAGAACCGGAGCCGGAAGCGGTCAAGAAACGGCGACGGAACTGGTAAAAAAACGGCGTCGGAACCGGCAAAAAAACGGCAAAACGGAACCGGTAAAAAAACGGCCCTGCTGTTTCCAGGGCCCACTAAGTCCTGGCGTGCCTATAGGCCTACCAACCAAGGTGCTAAGGACCTCCTGTGGTTTCGACGAACTGCTCTTAGAACCTTTTCTGGCTGGGACGGTATTGTTTTCACACAGCGAGCCTATTTGTTGAGAGCCTTGTTTCTGCTCTTAGAAAAATTCGGGAGGTCTAAAAAGGTTGCGTGGTAGGCCTATAGGAATGCCTGGACGGCCGGTCCCTGCTCGAGACCCATCGGTGGTTCAAAGTACGTCTTTTTGGAGTCCCAGATTTCAATCTACTTTGAGCACCTTCCTGCTTCAATGATCGAGTGGCTTCGCCTTTGTCCGTCCTCCTTGGAGGGTGGGCGGGCACCCCATCCATTGTCAGCGCCCTCCTATTGCAAGCCTCTGCCTGCTTCTTCCGACCGATGGGTAATTGTAAGTCGGGCGTGTCCTTTTACAGGAGGGATGTTCAAAAGGCGGCAAAACATTCATGGGTCGACGTTCCGACAACGTCTGACCATGTTTAGACGCTTGTTGGACAATGTTTCACATTGCTTCCTTCTTCCGCCTGTAGGAGGACATACCCGATCTAAAATTAGAGATTGTTTTTTTTATCCTCTGGGGGGTAACGCTCGTTACCCGGGCCTCTCCCCCCCCCCCCCCCCCCGTAACGGTAACGCTCGTACGCGGGGGGGGTCTCGGTCTTCCCCTCCAACATGCTGGTGCCCGAAGGCATGCGCACTGTGGTGTGGTGGTCGCAGGCGCACTGTGGGCGCTCGCAGGCCATTGCGGCGCTCGCATGCGCGATGCTGGTGCTTGCGGGCTTTGCGCTTGTACTCGAATCGTCGTCGTCGTCGTCGTCGTCGTCGTCGTCGTCGTCGTCGTCGTCGTCGTCGTCGTCGACGGCGCCCGAAAACGGCCTCCGGAGGCCGAAACAGGCGGCAAACGTCGTCGTCGTCGTCGTCGACCTCGTCGCTCGTCGCTCGTCGATCATCGTCGTCGCGCGCGCGGGCGCGGGCGTGGTGCCGGGACCACGCGGCGGGCTTTGCGCTTGTACTCGAATCGCAAGCCACTGTGGTGCTCTCAGGCAGAGAGTGCTGCTCGCGCGCATACTATGGCGATCGCAGAGCGCCCCTGCTTCGCCATACCCCGCCCAGCCCAAGCGTTACCGTTACCCGGGGGGCACGACCCCCCCCCCCCCCCGGGTAACGAGCGTTACCGGCCGGAATAAAAAAATGATCTCTTAATGACGGCGGCGCGCTCAGGGGGGGGGAGTAAGAGGGGGCGTGCCTTCGCAGAAGGCTCGGAAGACGCCAGGCCTTCTGAGAAAAGTGTCCTAGGCCTTCCCCGAAGACGCGGGCTTCTAAGACGCCATTCTGCCTTGTCAGAACGCCTCCTCCTTCGTATTCCCCCCCCCCTCCTCGCTCGCCGCCGATACTGTTCCGATTTCCAAGGAGCGACTCATGACTCAGGGCGAACAGCAGGTAAGCCCATGGGAATGGGTCTGGGGGTCCGCGAGTGAGTGTCGCCGGCGTCGGGGAGTTGCCATGAGGGGAACAGACACACAGACACAATGGATTGTCGATCCCCAGGAAGATATGGGAACCTATGGGAAGTGGGGGGGGGGGACGACAAAACTCAAGAACATGTGATAACAGATCTGGCATCATGGGGTCTGTGTGTATTTACGTGTGCGTCCCTGGGCCCCTTCAAGCTGAGAGCGGCCCTCCCTCCGTCCCCCTCCTCCTCCTCCCCCTCCTTCTCCTCCTCCTCCTCCTCCTCCTCCACCTTCTCCTCCTCCTCCTCCTCCACCTCCTCCTCCTCCTCCTCCTCCTCCTCCTCCTCCTCCTCCTCCTCCTCACCTCCTCCTGTGGCGGCGTAAAGCCTCCGCTACGCCCTCTCGGGGCGGCTCGCTGGCCCGCTGCTGTCGGCACCTCCTGCTGGCCGCGGGGGTGTACGTGCAGCAGCGGCGACCCAGAGCGGAGGCAGGCGGCGGAAACGGAGGCCAGAGGAAGCGACTCCCTCCCTCCTCCTCCTCCCCCTTCTCCTCCTCCTCCTCCTCTCCTCCTCCTCCTCCTCCTCCTCCTCCTCCTCCTCCTCCTCCTCATCCCCCTCCTTCCCTCCTGCTCCTCCTCTCCCCTCCTCCTCCTCCTCCTCCTCCTCCCCTCCTCCTCCTCCTCCTCCTCCTCCTCCTCCTCCTCCTCCTCCTCCTCCTCCTCCTCCTCCTCCTCCTCCTCCTCCTCCTCCTCCTCCTCCTCCTCCTGTGGCGGCGTAAGGCCAGAGGCGCAAGGCGTGCAGGCGTAAGGCCAGAGGAAGCCAGCGGAAGCGAGAAATGCCCCCCACAAGCGATGGCCCCGCCCTGTTGATGCCAGTTTTTTGTGTGGGCTGGGGCTGCATTCCGAACTGAGCGTCGGCCGAGGTATCGGTTGATTTCCGTCAGTTGGAGTTGTTGCGGTCGGTGTTCCCGTCAGACCTTGAGCCCTGGGACGCCATCGCGAATGAGGGGCCAAGGATTCCTCCTTGCGCACCCACGCCCTCCCCCCGCGAACACGTGGCCTGGTCCAGAAAGGGCCTCGCCTTTCGCGCATCCTTGCCGTCGGCGGAAGCTGGCGAGAGTGGAGCGGCGGCAGGCCCGACGGCGAAAAGTCGGCCGACGGCGGCAGGGGTAAAAGGCGAGGCGTCAACACTTTTCGGTTCAGGGATTTCGCACAGCATGCACACCTGACAAGAATCAGGAGGGGGAACACACATACGGACATAATTAACCGTCGACTCCAAGGACAATATGGGAAAGTATGGGAAGTGGGGGGGGGAAGACGAAAATACATAAAATATGTAAGCATATCGGGCATCATGATCTGTGTGCGTATTTACTTGTGTGCCCCTGGGCCCCTTCAGAGAAATTTGCCTGTCAGAGGGTGGCCCGCGAGAACTGCTGTCGCATCTCGGGCCCTTGGAGTCCCCCCCGGGCACCTCACGAGTCTCAGCGTCGACGACGAGCGTGCCCCGAGAGGTCTCGTAGCAGCACTTCCTGGGGAATGTTTTGCTTCCCAGAAGGCCAGGGGACTTCCGAGCCTTCCGAAAGGGCCTCCTCCTGCTCATTTCCGCCTCTCGCTCGCCGCCGACTATCTCGCTCAGACTACAGTCGCATGTTCTGTTGCATCTTTGGGGGGCCTCATCTGTCCCATGGCGCCTTCCATCCGTCGTCGGATCCGTGTGGAGTCCAGGCCGCGCACGACGAGCCCGTGTCGAATCCACGTCGGGCCTGCGTCGGTCTCGAGACGAGACCACCAGTCATTGGACAGCCAGTCGCCCCCCCCCTGAGGAAGATGCAGCGTGATGCACGGGAGCGCGGGCCCCTGCCCTCAGCTTATGTTACAGACCAGGCATGATCGCGCCGTTGAGCGAATCAGGACGGGGGCTCGTCACGATGTTCGGCTCTCGGGGGCCCTCGCCGGGCCCCGGGACCGTCAAACAACGACTCAGGATGAAAATGCGCCCCCGGGGAAAGGGTCTGGACTTCCGGGGACGCCATGCTGAACACATCAGGACGTCGCATGTCTGGCGACGTTGGTGGCATTTTGTTTCGTGTTCAACGCTTCGGTGTTCGGCCAAGCAAAAAAAACATACATACATTGGCGAAGGACCCAACCGTATGCAATTGCGACTACCGTCGTTGCGCGTATCGCCTTCGGTGGGTCTCCTGTCGGGGCAGCGAAGCGTGTGAAGGGTGTGCCGAAATCGGGCGGGGCGGCCATGCGGGTGCTGCCGCTGGTGCCTTAGATAGAGCCCCAATGTGGGGCCACAAAGCGTTTGATGCATGTGCCGGAATTGGGCGGGGCCGCCCTGCGAGCGCGGTCACTGGGGCCTTCGGTGGAGCTCCCTATGGGGCCACGAAGCCTGGCACTGGGGCCTTTGGTGGAGCTCCCTACAGTCGGCGCGCCGCCCGCATACGAGACCAGACGACGGCGACGACAGCGGTGTCGACGACGACGACGACGGCGACGACGACGACGGCCACGATCCAGATATTGCAGGCCTGCGCCGCCCCGGCGTGTCAGCGACCCGAGCGCGGGTTTGGCAGCGCGGGCGCTCAGGGGTCATCGTTGCCGTTGGCTTGGTGTCGGCCGATGCCGATCGATCCGAGCTGCAGTCAAGACGCCGAGCCAGAGACCACCGCGGGCGCAGGAGGGGCTCTGGCCTGGTCTCAAATGCCGTTCTGAAACGCAGCACGCACCGTGTTCAAGACGTCCGTGTCAAAACGTTGCGTGTTGGCTCCGCGTATTGGACTACGTTTTGGCGAACGTATCGCGTCGGACCTACGTTTTCAGTCCACGTGTTAAGCTCCGTATCAGTACGCTACGTGTTGCGTGTTGCGTACTGGGGCAGCTGAGGGCCTGGTTGCCGGGCCGCCGCCGAGATCCAGGTGCGGGGGCCCAGTTGTGGCCGAGGCTCGCCGTGACCAGAACTTCTCTCCCTCTGTTGGCCCTCTTGCTGGTAGCTCGGTGACTGTCGCAGGCCCAGAGGTGGACACAACACCGAAATCTAGGGTCAACTTTCCCCCGTGGAGGCAAGCCCCACGTGTCGGTGGCGGCGCCCGTGCCCAGGCCTCCAAGGCTGCGTTTGGGACCGCCGTGGTCTTCAAAGGTGCCCATGTCAGACAGAAGGCCGCCTGCCCAACAGCGGCCGCTGTTGGTTTGGGACAGCATTTGCTGTTGGGCACTGTACCCATGTTTTCCGTACCCATTTCGGGCGTCCAAAGTGCCGGCGCCCGTTCCCAGGCCTCCAAGGTTGTGTGTTGGGACAGGCCGTGGTCTTCCAGAGGTGGCGCGCGGTCCCCACCCGCCGTCAGAGGCTGGCGCCCACGGCGTGTCACGAGGCGAGCCAGGCCCGAGCGCCTCCGCCGCAGAGCCGAGATCGGGGCGGGCAAAGCTCGTCGGGGCCTAAGAGACGGGGATCAGTGCAGACGGGGGTCAGCCAGGGAACCGGGTCCTGCAGGATCCTGCGAAGACCCCCTCTGGCTGGCCCGGGTCAGCGAGCCGCTCGTGGCCGCGAGGCGGCCGCGCCTGTTGGCAGCGCCCACGGTCTGCCACGAGGTGAGCCAGGCCCGAGTTCCTCCGCCGCAGTGCCGGGATCGGGTCGGGCAAAGCTCGTGCGCTTCAGCACAAATCGACCAGGCTTAAGTCGGGCCTGTCCCCCTACAGGGGGATTTTCGACGAAAAATAAAATGTACCCCAAAAATATCCATAACATATGCCAAAAGTCTGGGGACTATTTCTTGAGTATGTTTTGACGTTTTTGGTATATGTGTTTTATTTGTCGTGTAAAATCCCCCTGTAGGGGGACACGCCCGACATAAGACTAGGCGTAAGAGTGACCTTTCGCCAGAGGGACCTTTGGTGAGGGCACAGCTGGTCTTTGGCCCCTCCCCGCGGTCCCAACAAGCCCGAGCCCCTCCGCCGCAGTGCTGGGATCAGGTCGGGCAAAGCTCGTGCGCTTCAGCGCAAATATCAGGGGGGAAAAACACACAGACAAAATGAGTCGTCGATTCCCCAGAAAATGTCGGAAAATATGGGAAGTGAGGGGGAAGACAAAAACACAGAAAATATGGAAAATATGGGACATCTTATCTATTGTGTGTATTTACTTGTGTGCCCCAGGGCCCCTTCACAAATGGCGGTCATGGTCGACCAGAGTTCTCCCGATAGACCGTTTCGCTTTCTGAGCTCGCCTCGAAAGCGGCGTCGACGAAGCTGGCGACGCCGCCGATTGCCGGCGTTGTGGAGATCTGCTGGCGCCTCTTGGGGTTGGGGCTCCCGTCGCAGTGGCTGTAGGCGGCTCGGGGAACACTGACACTGGCTGCGATGGGCCACGGGAGGCACGTTGCATCCTTCGATGAGGTCGGGCGTTTCCCTCTACAGGGGGATTTGGGAAGAAACATCACAATCCTCCAAAAGTGTTCGAAAATAGTCAAACAGAAATCCAAAAATCGTCCCCATATTATTTTTGGACTATTTTTGGATACTCCTCCTGTAGAGGGACACGCCCGACCTAATCCTTCGAGGGGCCTGGCCTGTCGCACAGATTGCGGCTCTCACTCGTGCCCGACGCGGATGCGGCATGACCCCCAGCGTGGATTCGACACGGAATGGACGCGTTCGAAACGGCTTCGACGCGGATTCGGCCCGGATGGTTGGCGCGATGATCAGTATCGTTTAACCGACCCCCATCCCCATCCCCATCCCCTTCGAGACACCCACCCAATTATCCCCCCAGTCGGGGATACCCCTCGAAACCCGAAGGGAACGACCTATATCCCCATCCAGGGGGGCAAACCGGCCAGCGGGGCCCAGGCCACGCCGCTGGGAATGGAGATCGGTGAAACGATACTCAGATGGCACGGGCGAGGTCCCCCGAAGGTGCAACGTGATGGGGTCACCATTTTTAGGCCTGTTTTGCAGTGTGTTTGGGATGCCCTGGGGTGGGCCCGAGAGGGGCAAGTCCTCTCGGGAGGCCGACGGCAGGCATCTTGCGAACCTTGCCTCCTTCGAGGGCTCTTCTTGGAAGCAGGGGTCGACCTAACAGTGTCTTGGCGATTTCGTGGGCCGTTCTCGTTTTGCAGCGACGGCGAATTGGAGACAAGACGAGGGACGACGAAACAACACAACGATTACGAAACACACGGCTTATGTCCATTCCTGTTTGGGAGGCCTTGGTCTCCTCTGGGAGCCCCGGCCTCCCAGAGGGGGCCCGAGCGGGCAGGGTCGAAGAGGATCTCGCCGCATCGCCGATGCGTCGGCGATGCGGCTGGAAATGTGCAGCCCAATTTGTCTCCACGCGGGCGTCGCCGATGCATCGGCGATCCTCGAAGAAGAAACATTGTCATAAGCATAAGCTCGTGGCGCGCCACGCGGATTTCTTGGATCCACGCCGGGGCCTCCCTGGCGCGCTCCGCACGCAAGGGGGGGAGCCCAGCGCAGATCCAAGAAATCCGCGCGGAGCGCCACAAGTTTCTGTTCATGGCGTTTTTTCCCTCTAGACTTAAGTCGGGCCTGTCCATCTACAGGGGGAATACCCAAAAATAGTAAAAAGATAGTCTGGGGACTACTTCTTGAGTATTTTGACTATTTGGAGTATTTTTTGAGCCTTTCGATTTTTCGTAGAAAACTCCCCTGCAGGGGGACACGCCCGACTTTAACTCTAGACGCAGCGCGATCCTGCGACCCCATCCGCTCGGGCTGGCCCAATCTGGGAGGCCTCCGCGGGCCCTCGCCCTTCCTCTTCGATGCTCGGGCGGGGAAGAGGCACCTTGCGCCTCGAACGCTGCGCATCACCGCTGCATCGCCAGGCGCCCGCGGCATCGGCGAGGCATCGGCGACGTGGCGCGATGCGGCCCCATCCGCGCGGACCCCCCGTTGGGGTGCCTCCGGGGAGGCCCCCTGCCCCGGCGGCAGGCCACTCCCCCGAAGCCCCACTCCCGTGGGCGCGCCACCGGTAAAGGGAGCTGTTGAGTGAACAATTCGTGCCTGGCATTCTTCTCCCTCTCTCCTCCTCCTCCTCCTCCTCCTCCTCCTCCTCCGCCTCCTCCTCCTCCTCCTCCTCCTCCTTCCTCCCCTCCTCCTCCTCCTCCTCCTTCCCCTCACTCCTCCTCCTCCTCCTCCTCCTCCTCCTCCTCCTCCTCCTCCTCCTCCTCCTCCTCCTCCCCTCCTCCCCCTCCTCCTCCTCCTCCTCCTCCCTTCCTCCTCCTCGTACTCCTGCCTCCTCTCCTCCTCTCTCCCCCTCCTCCTTTCCCCCTCCTCCTCCTCCTCCTCCCTCCTCCTCCTCCTCCGTCCTTCCTCCTCCTCCTCCTCCTCCTCCTTCTCCTCCTCGTCCTCCTCCCCCTCTTCCCCATCCTCCCCCTCCTCCGGTTTCTGCCACAGGGCGCCTTGCGGATCAACAAAAAAGTGTTTGTAGCCCGTATGGGCTCGAGGAATCGTCCGATGGTTCGGCGTCCAGCTGCCAGCGGCAGCCGTATGGACTCGATCGCCCGGCGCGCGATGCGGAAATGGCAGGGCGATAAGAAAAGCGGTCTCCGATGGGCTTCTTTGGCGTTTATCGATGCTGGCCAAGAAACAGGCTTCGTCAAGGCTCGCAACCCTAGATTGATACAGAATATGCGCATCTGTTGTCTGGTCAGTGGAGTTGGCTTAACCGCCGAGCTGATCATGTTCAGAGTGTGGGATTTGAGCCCCGACCGTTACCAGTCGGAGGAACAAATGAAGATCAACCAGCTATCCAACCTTAGCTTTACCATGTTGTGGGTCTACAACATGGTAGTTTGGACATCCACGCTTTCTTGCTTCACCCGAAGAATCCCGCCGCCTGTGCTAGAGATAATTTACACGCTGTCCATCTCCGTGGGCATGGTGGCCTTTGTGCTGGCCACGCCACACTATGCTGGCCGTCTGTTGGGTCTCGACACGAAGACGCACCTGGAGCCCCGGCAGCTCACCGACACGTTTGTCGTCCTCGGGCTGGACGCGTTGGTCACCTCGACGCACATCGTGCTCCCCATCCGCTACCATCTCATGCTGTGCGTGCAGGCATCAAATAATCGAATAGTTAGGGGATCGAGAACATAATTCATTTGCCCCAGACTGATTTCCCCGCCGAATCTACGAACATGACGCAGAACGCTCCGTACGACACCCCGTACATCTACGAACATCCTTTTGTGCCTCTCGGAGATGCGAGGGGGGGGTGGGGGAATTCTGGCGCAGCTGTACTTCGTAATCGATCCCCCTCTCGAAGCCAAGGGGTCACAGCGGTGAATTTTGCAAACCGCCGAGGGGCCGCGCGGATGTCGTTACAAATCGAAAAAATAAAAACATCGGCTATACTCAAGAGTGACCCTGGATAAGAGTGACCTTTGGGGCGCGGCTTTTTGAGGGCCGCGGGGGGACCAAGCCTGGACGCACAACCAGCTGCTACTGTTTCGTTTTCAGCCATCTGGGAGCCCATCTGTGCCCGCACCAAAGGTCACTCCTGCGAAAGGTTACTCTTACGTCTGGTCGAACACATAGTCTAGGGACGATGTTTTGACTATGTTTGCCGATTTGGGAGACATGTTCGAGTATGTTTTATTTGTCGTCCAAAATCCCCCTGTAGGGGGACACGCCCGACTTAACCCTGGCGTTAAGTCGGGCCTGTCCCTTTCCAGGAGGAAAACTAAGAAATGGTCAAACAATCGTCTGGGGACGATTTTTCGACTTCGTTTGCCGATCTGGGGCAATTTTTTTCGAGTATGTCTCACTGTTTCGCGCAGAATCCCCCTGTAGGGGGACCCGCCCGACGCAACCCCGGCGACGCCGCCCCCCGGCGCGCGCTCCGCGGCGGCAGGGAGGTTGGCCCCGCGTGTGAGCCCGGGCGTCCTCCCGCTGGGCCTCGCCCCGGCGAGTGCGTTGTCTTCCGGCTCGGGAGCCTCGAGACGGGGGTCCGTGCACACTGCGGTCCGCCAGGGCACCGGGTCCTGCAGGATCCTGCGAAGACCATCTCTGGCTGACCCGGGTCAGCGAGCCGCGCGTGGCCGCGAAGCGGCCGCGCAGATTGGCTGACCCGGGTCTGCGAAGACCTGCGTTGCAGTTTTTGTTTCCGTGGCATTGCAGTTTTTGGTTTCCTGCTGACCCGGGTCTGGATCGACCAGGGTCAGAAGATCCCCGATCGGCGAGAACCATCGAGGACCATCGGCGTTTGTTGTCCTTTCTCGACTTCTCGGCTCGCGGCCAACCAGAAACAGCACCAACACAGACGGCGGCCAAACACAGGACACACCGGAAGCACAACACGTAATCGCACGGAACACGGCGCGAACGAGAATCCTTGTACGGAAAACAACATACCACAACACCCTAACAATGTCGATGTTGAGTCGCGGAAAAAATCGATGGTCCTGGATCATCGAACATACCCAAAAAGAAATGCGGAGCCGAACAATGCACTGGGTAAGGGCGTCAGGTCCATGGCAAGCCAGAACATGCGACAGCTTGTTTGCTCATGCTGCTTATCTTTTCCCTGGAGGTTCGCAAAGGGGATAAACGACCCAAAGATGGCGTTAGGAAACGGACCCAGTTGGATGCTCAGAGCCTCTTCTTCCAGTAGCAGTCTGGAAGCAGTGTTCATTGGCCCTCCCCTCAGTGCCCGAGGCACGCATGGGTCAAACAACATTGCTCGTTTCTGGTATACAGCAGTTGGATACCCAGGAGCGCATGGTAGAAAACATTAGTGATCCAGCTGCTTTGCGCAATACCGTCATTCAATTTGCGTTTTTCCATTCTTGCCCTCCTGCTCCTCCCTCCGTTCTTCCCCCCCTTGCCCCTCCCGCCCGTGCCAGATGGCCGGTTGTAAACTATACTTGTTCTAGCCTGCCTGCGCCGCCGCCGAAACTGCAAAACGGAGGCTTCATCGACTGCTCTTTCTGTTCTCTTGCCTAGCCCTTGCGGTACGGCGCATAGCATGACTGATTGCCCTGGCCCCTGCCCCACAGCTCTAAGACTCTACGCTTCCCGAGATCCCAAAGGTGTGCAGCATCTTATGCTACGCGATACCGGCCATGGTCCTCGGCAGCGCCCACCCAGGGAACTTCCCGCACACGATGGTGGCTTTCTCGATGCTGATATACGGGCTGCCTTCGGCAAGCTCCGCCACCGCATCGCTGCAGCTGCTCTCCTTCCAAGCGGGCAAATCGGGAACGTGTTTTCCAACCATCCCGTGGTGTTGGGTCTTAGTTTTGAAGGGACAGTGCCCCGCGTTCCTCCTTCCTCCTCCTCCTCTCCCTCCCTCCTCCGGATCCTGCCTTTGCCCTCTTCGCGTCCATGTCGGTCGTGGCCTCATTGGGAGCTCCTCCGAAGGGCCCAGTCACCAAGATTGCATGCGTCTCCCGCAGCCGGCAAAACGTAATGCCCCAGTAGCAAACATCGCATGCGTCTCTCTCACCAATTACAGCGTCTCGTGGCCCGTAGGGAGCTCCTCCGAAGGCTTCAGGGGCAAAGTTCGCATGCGCCTTCCCCACCCAGTACAGCGCTCCGTGGCCCAAAAGGGAGCTCAACCGAAGGCCCCAGTGGCACAGTTCGCCAGCATCTCCTTCACAAATGATGCACCGTGGCCCGCGACGGGCGACACGGCGTCTGGAGTCAGGTCTGAGCAGGCACCAGCTTGGGCCCATGGACATGACGCCTGAGGAGGAAGACGAGGAGGAGGAGGAGGAGGAGGAGGGAAAGAAGAAGCAGAAGAAGAAGGAGGAGGAGGATCATGCGGAGGAGGTGGAGGAGGAGGAGGAGGAGAACGAGGAGGAGGAGGACGAGGAGGAGGAAGACGAGGAGGAGAAGGAGGAGGAGACGGAGGAGGGAGGAAGGGAGGGAGGGAGGGAGAGAAGAGGGAGGAACGGAGGGAGTGGAGGAAGTGGAGGAGGAGGACGAGGAGGAGGAGAGTAAGAGCAGGAGAAGGAGCAAAGGAGGAGGAGGAAGAGGAGGCGGAGGAGGAGGAGGAGCAGGAGCATGGGAGGAGCGGAGGAGGAGGAGGAGGAGGAGGAGAAGGAGGAGGAGGAGGAGAGAGGAGGAGGAGGAGGATCAGGAGGAGGACGAGGATAACTAAGGAGGAGGAGGAGGAGAGGAGGAGGAGGAGAAAGAGAGGAGGAGGAGAAGGAGCAGGGGGAGGAGAGGAGGAGAGGAGCGAGAGGAGCAGAGAGGAGGAGGAGGAGGAGGGAGGAGAGAGAGAGGAGGAGGAAGAAGAGGAGGAGGAGGAGGAGGAAAAGGAGGAGAAAGAAGAGGAGCAGGAGGAGGAACAGTAGGTTGAGGAGGAGGAGGAGGAGGAAGACAAGGAGGAGTTGGAGACGGAGGTTGGAGGAGGAGTAGGAGGAGGGAGGATGAGGATGAGGAGGTTAAGGAGGAGGAGGAGGAGGAGGAGGAGGAGGAGGAGGGAGGATGAGGATGAGGAGGTTAAGGAGGAGGAGGAGGATAGTGATGATGCTGCTGGTGATGATGATGGTGACGATGATGATGATGATGATGATGATGATGATGATGCTGATGATGATGATGATGATGATGATGATGATGATGATGATGCTCCTGATGATGATGGTGCTGATGATGCTGATGATGCTGATGATGCTGATGATGAGGATGAGGATGATGATGGTGAGGAGGAGGAGGAAGAGGAGGCGGAGGAGGAGGAGGAGGAGGAGGAGGAGGGCGGAGGTGGCCATGTTTCTCTCAATCGGGGGGGGCTCCCCCCCCCACCCATGCCACCTTTGAAGGAGTCCCCAGCGCCCGCCCAAGATGCCCGAGCGTGCGATCGGGCTCAGGCGGCCCGGTGCGGGGTCGCTGTCTGTTGCTGCAACCCTCTCAGCGCGACGGGGACCCGCGCCCAGGATTGCGTGGCCGACTTGGCCAACTTCGACATCCTGTTCTTCATCGGCACGCAGAGGCGCGCCGTGTCGGCCGAGTTGCTCGGCCCCATCGCCAAGGCCGATCGGTTTTACTCGATTGATTGGGGGTGGGTCCCGTCCCCGCACGTCACCAAAGCATGTGGGCTTCAGATACGGCTGCATAACAGTAAGTTCCCGCGTGCATGCTTGAGGGCTTGCCCCAGTGCCACGAAACCTTCGGGGTAGAGTAGGAGCAGTGCGTCTGGAGAGAGGTGCAGTACGTCTGATGTTGATTGCAATGTATTTCCCGCCCGCGCCGAACATAGGCCGAGAACATCGTGACCGATGGCAGCGGACGGTGAGGTCGATGATGAGCTGGCTGTACTCTGTTGGGATCTACAAGCGCACGCTGGTCACCAGTACTCGGCTGCGACTTGAACGGCCAGTTCGCCGAGACCCCACACGTCACGGGCAGCTCTCATTTGCACGAATTCAATTACACAAGCGAGATGTTGGCACCTTGTCTTCGAGCGCGCAGCCTGTGCGCCATCAACACCTTTTTCCCGACGGGCGGCCCCACCTACTACAACAGGGGTGTGGTAGAGACGCTCGACTACATCATCGTGCCGCAGGAGTGGCACAAGGCTGCGATGTGGTTTAGGACACTGACACGGTCTGCCTGGCGCCTTCAGCTTCACAACCAGACTGCGCTGTGGGACCATCTTCCGCTGGGTGCCTGTTTCGACGTCGACACCTTAGGTCAGCCGTACGAACCGATCAAGCGGACACAGATCAACAACGAGATGATTGCGAAGATGCTCCAGCTTGGTGACAGACGGTCTGAGTTTGTGGCGACAGTAGAGGCGCAACTACGTGGGCACCTCCAGCAGCCACGCGCGTTGCCATGGTGCGAGATCCCTGATTTTGCCCATGCGGCGCTCCACGAGGCGATCAAGGCAGGCGCCGAGCAGCACTGCCAAGGCATCGTCGGCTACGTAGAGGACCATGCTGAACATACGCGAGAGGTCAGGCAGCTACTTCAACAGCGACGTGAGCTGCGTGAGCGCTTTGCTGCAATTCCTGAGTGTGTCGATGTGAAGGTGGCAGGTCAGGTCGGCAGAGTTGACGAGTCCCAGTACCAGCAAGCGATCAACGATACGGCGAACATCTCTGCCGCTGGAGTAGGTGCGTCAGGGACTGACGGCGATGCACGACGTGAAGGCGGGGTTGACAGGAGTATTCTTTCTGAGGCAACCTGTGAGCATGAACAGCTAGCGAGTGGATCAAAGGTTTTTACTTCGCGATGTACGACGCGAAGGTGAGATTGACATGAGTATGGTGCGTTTTTTTTTTTCCGGATCTGAACGATATCGAGAGTTTGTTGAGCAAGGCTTCGCACATGAGCAGATGTACGCAGTTCGAGAGATCAGCAGATTGACGTTTTGATTGAAGGTTGTCAGCAGATGTCTGACACAGCGGCAGCGATCATATTGGAGCGAGGTTACCGGAGCGAGGTAACCAAGCTAAGATGCGACGAGTTTATGAAGGCTTCGAAGGCGAACGACACGCTCACAGTCCACAAGCTTGCACGGCTTCTTGCACAGCGCAACCGTGGCGGCCGCAAGAGTGTTTGGGCGTCGCGCCATCCCTGGGGCTACTTAGGACTGGATCACGCGCGTGAAGCTGAAGGGATGCGATGGCGGATGCTCGGCGACTGGCTAAACGAGAACCAGCTGCGGGACATGCGAGATTACCCGATGGCCATGATTGTCACGCAGAAGGAGATCGGCGAGGAGTCGAAGCAGCTTCGTTCAGCGGCATGGCGAGCCAAACGTTGGAGTTCTTGTCCCGAGTGGAGTTCGCCGACGGAGTTGCTGAGAGTTATGATGTGCCCCAAGTAGTATAATAAGCGCATGATGCATCGTAGACAAGGGCATGGCTACGAGTCGGAGCTAGAGAATCTTGCCACGCCTGCGTTCCACGCTTTCTTGTGGGCGCTCGTCGAGGGCATTCTCCGCGCTCAGCGGGCCCCTCCCCTTTGGGCGCGTGCTCGTGCGGCGAAGGTTGGCAAGGGCAACGAGAAGGAGGGCGTAGGTGGCGAGCGGGTGGTGGTGATGATCTGCAGCCTGGCGAAGTTCCACTACCGCGCGATGCTCAAGGCCGCGGACACCGAGAACGCGCCTTGTTGGGCTTACGGAGCCATCAGACACTGACGGCAAGAATGAGCGATTGTGGTCCAGATGTGCAGCGCCTGGAGGCTCAAGCATCATGGATACCAGCACGCCCGTCGCCTACATGATGCAGCGAACGCGTTCTACTCGATCCAGACGGGCAGGCATAACCAAGTCATCCTGCAGCGCGTCCATCCCCGACATGTACCTTTGATGCTGGACAAAGTGAAGTGGGCCCACTTCAACTTCCACGGCGAGTCGGATCGCCTCTTGCTGATGTGCGAGGGCTGCATGCCCGGTGACCCTGTAATGGTTTTCTTCTCTGTCATGGCGTACGCGATGGGGCTCGAAGAGTGCGCCCAGACTGACTGTCAGAACTTCGAGTATGTTTCTCCGTGGACTGGGCAGGTAACCCAGGCTGCCCTTACCATTTTTGTGGATGATATAGCGGATGCGTTTAGGTTTCGCGATCGGCAGCATGCACAAGACCGCGGAGCTGTCCAAAACGAGAAGGTGACACGCATGTCGGGGGAGATGGGGCCGAAGCAAAACAGAAGCAAGCAAGAAGCAGTCCCTCATTGCAGCGGGGCGGGAAGCCTCAAGCTCGAGCGGGAAACCTTGAGGGGCCAGGTCTTCCAGGGGCAGAGCGCTGCTGCTGCTCGGTATCTGGGGGTTCGGCTCACGGCAAGGTTCTCGATCGCAGTCGAAACGGGGTATCCGATCCAGGCTGGGAAGGCTGCGTGGGGGATGATGGGCAACATCTTGACATCGAACGTCAGCGCGAAATGGGAGATCTCGGTTTTTAATGGCCACGTCATAAACGCGATCATGACGGGCATCGAAACGTTCGCCAGGCATAATGGACACATGAAGGTCCACGACTTCCAGGGGCTCCAAGGGGTTCTTGCACGTCGTGCGCGGGTCGTACTTGGAGGCGTCGCTAACCTGAGGATCGACGGCTCGATTAGGTCCCTGACGAATCTAGAGGTTCTGGTGAAGCTCGGGTCGGCTAGCTTGTTCGTGGAAGCTCGCGCACGTCGGCTAAAGTGGCTCCAGCATCTTTTAGCTGAGCCAGCAGTTGCTGAACAAGTGTTGGGAG